GATGTTTGTGGATGTCACCTAAAGATGTTTTTTAATTCTCCTGATGAAACTGCGGCCGAGCGGTAAAGTCGCTGAACACTGGTAGTTCGATCCGAGATTCGAATCCCACGAACGGGCTGGCTGCATGGGCGTTTTCGTGGTTTTCCCCGCATGTAACGTGTATGCGAGCTAGTTTCCCTTAGAAAGTCCTCCACGAAGGCATCTCTCCCCTTAGGCAGATAGCCGTAGTCTGCTTTGTCGTAATTAAATAAACCAAAACCTTTTGATGAAACCAGTCTTTCATCTCATACCTTCAAAATTTTTAGCCTGTAAAGACTGAAAAAGGCTCTGACGAAATACTGATGAAATGGATTGAACTCGATTATTAAGCTAAGGCAAAGCAGGGCTCTTTGTTTAAAAGGAGGATGTGTTCTGAAGAACTTTCTAAGGGAAACCAGCTGGAATCACACGCGGGTTACACATGAGAAAATCCACGAAAACCGCCCATGCAACCAGCCCGTTTAACGCGGGATTCGAACCCCGGAGTGAACTACCAGTGTTCAGCGACTTTACCGCTCGGGCCGTTTGTGGGCCTTTATGAAATGGAAGACGCGATAACTTTTATTTAAAATGATTGTCAGAAATACCAAAATGTTTCGAAAAGTTGGATACTTTTTAATATACTTTCAGAATGCTTAAAGAAAAAGAGAAGAAAAATAAATTTTTTCGGAAAAAATTTAGTATTTATATTTTTTTAATTTAAAACTTTTCAATCTTATGATATTTGATTCTTGCGATTTCAAAAATAAAATTATTGACTAAAATATGAATAACATTTTAAGAAACCAAATGTAGGATAAAATTGTGTAAAGCAATGGGCACAATGATAAAACTGTTTAAAGCAGTGTATGCAAGTCATCCTAAGTTAAAATATCGGTTATACATCTCTCTTATTTATATATATTTTTTCTGAATGGAACATTGAAAGGCATGTAAAACTGTGCTTTACTATATTCATATACTTTTTTCCCTAAGGAAACTAGGTTGCCATATATTAAGAAGTTCGCCAAGTGAAGTATTCTTGGCACAAACTGACAAAAAAGTGTCAACATAAATTTGTGAATTTCTCCGTAAATTTCGCTCCAAATTTTACAAAATTTCATATTTAGGCGTTATTTGAGTCGTAGAATCGAAATATGTAAAAAAATTGGTATGTTATTTCAGAAAAAGTCCGATTTTGTGTCAAAATACCTATGTTAGAATAGTGCTATATATAAATCTAATATATATCCTAAGTCGCGCTTTCGAGACATGAAGAACGCAATTTGAATTTTGTCAATCGGCCCAGTAGATCGGGAGATATAGGACTGTCCCATTTTTCTCTTTTAATATAGTATGCAGTTTTCAAACGCATCGTAGTCTGGGTTACAAAGTATTCTTCCGAAAAAAAACGCAGTTCAAATAAATAAAATCAAATTCTGAAAAAACTGATTATAAATATATTTTTAAAATGCTCAGTTCGAAGGAATAAATAGAAAATTTTAAAAGACTTATCTGAAGAGACAATGCAACACAAACAATTAAAATAAAAGTATAAAAATTTAAAAATGACCTAAAATAATAGCTATGACGAAAAGTATATATAAAGAAAAACTATTTGAAAAAAAAAATAAATAAATAAATAAACGCTAAACCTTTATTTACGCAGTTCGAATAGGTAAATAGAAATTTTTAAAACAGTTATTCGAAAAAAAAAAAAGTGCAACTTAAACAATTAAAATGAAATTCGAAAAGAAAAAAAAGAAAAAATTACTTAAAATAATAAGTTATAATTAAAAAATATAATATAAAGATATTATTTGGAAAAAAGGAACGATGGTGACTTTTTTCATAAGGAAACTAGGTTGCCATATATTAAGAAGTTCGCCAAGTGAAGTATTCTTGGCGCAAACTGACAAAAAAGTGCCAACATAAATTTGTGAATTTCTCCGTAAATTTCACTCCAAATTTTACAAAATTTCATATTTAGGCGTAATTTGAGTCGTAGAATCGAAATATGTAAAAAAATTGGTATGTTTATTTCAGAAAAAGTCCGATTTTGTGTCAAAATACCTATGTTAGAATAGTGCTATATATAAATCTAATATATATCCTAAGTCGCGCTTTCGAGACATGAAGAACGCAATTTGAATTTTGTCAATCGGCCCAGTAGATCGGGAGATATAGGACTGTCCCATTTTTTTTTTTTGAGCAGTGTACATACACATGCACACACAAATGGGATACAGAACTCGTAAAGACAGATAATTTATACAAATGAAATCATAAACTGACCAAAAAATAATGGTTGCTGCATTAATGTACCACAAAACGTAACAACCAACATAATAAGAATGCTCCTCGCATAAATTCAGAAGGTGAATGCATATCCTGCAGTCACAGGATTAAGACTCATTACATGAAGTTGTGCTCGTTCACTGGTTGAAGATAAAAATAACTTATGTAATTTTTTAATGTAATCTTCTATAATCTCAACACACTTAATCTACTTTAAAATAAATGAATGAATTTCCTTGAAATAAAATGTTACATCTTGGTTATCATACCAGTCAAGACTGACTGGTATGATATTAGAATACTAATCATTCAGATTTTTTTCAGGTTGAAATAGAAAAAAATCCCCATAAGCTAAATCTAAACTGAAGGCAGGATAATTAAGCTTTTCAAAACCACATTCTCTTATTAAGCCCTGCACTATATCAGATTTGTATATAACATGTTATCATAAACAGCAACATTCTGGCTAAAATGTCTGCCAAAATGTATCTTCTTGATGGATTCTTCACTAATGGCATGAATTCAAAAGCAAAATATTATTTCTGTCCCAAAATGCTATTATTTCTGTCGTGATCTTTCTGACCGACCACTACATATAAAACTTCTTGGAAGTTGGAAACCCTTTATATTTCTACTGCACTGAATGTTATTTAGACTTATAGTGTGATAGTGATAAACCCACATCTTATTCAATTCTTGTGAAAAAAGTCACCATACATGGCTATCACTCTTTCAGAGTTTTTGGCTCTTTCTCTTACTTTGCAAGAAATTTAACTTCAAATCAGATTTTCAAACTCTTCATTTTCATTATAAAAGTGCACTAGCTAGAGTTTAGTAGCTGCCTTCTAAGCTAACTGACTGATAAAAAATGCGATGGCATACCTAGATATGCAAAATGCAAGTAGAGAAAAATAGATAGAATATGCAAAAAATTCATACTGATACATGCTTAGTAACCCACATCATAATATATTTTATGTTAAAAATTTACAAATTCTGAAAATTTGAAACTTATTAAAAGCAATGCATGAAATGAAATAGAATATGAATTAGTTATCTATTTTGGAGTTATTTATGAAAGGGGGAAAGCAGGATGAATGCATCAATCAAAATCTAAACTACCCTGAAGCCATCTTTTACATCATTTATTTCATCCTATTAAAAAAAAAAAAAAATGCAAAATCTAAAAATTATATATCATGTTTATTTTCAAAAATATTTTCCATTATTTTGTTTAATGAATAGTGCATATTGATGATGATTTAAAAAAATTAAGATTAAAATACTACTACTAAACAGTAATTTTATTACCTTAAATGTAAATTTGCTTGATGTGAAATACAACTGAAAGTAGCTTCAGTATTATTTGAAAAAAGAGGAGCTAACAAAAAAATTGCTTCTAAAGAAAGATCTACATCCATATGCTCTCACAATCAAGAGAATTTTATTTAAAATCCATATCAGCCAAAGGCTGCTTTTTATTTGCCTAAATTTATGAACATCAAGGATTTAACTAATTAAAGTAAAATAAATATTTTAAGACATGTTTTACTCTATAGGGGCATACAAAAAGTTACATTTATTTCTACATAATACTTCCCATATGTACAGTTGCAATTATTTCAAAAAAATTTCTATGCCTTACACAAAAAAACTGAATGCAATGCCTACAATAACTGAGGAATAGCAGTCCACAGCAAACTTTCTTGAACATTCTGTACACAGAAATATTGCCCATAATATTAAGAACAAATATAAAATTAAATGCAAGAGAAATTTCCCATCCTTTCATTACATGCATAAATTATGTGTGGCTAAAGAAAGTTGACATTCCTCAAAATTCATTAGGTCCCAATCACATTATGTTTCGGCTACGCTGGACTTGACGTCGAAAGGGACAACTCTCAGAACCTGCACAATTCCATGAAACATGCGTAGCTAGGTTACCATTCTCACTTACTACAAAAACTTGAATGCCACACAGTAATCGATTATCGCTCAAATCAGGATCACATGATCCTGCAGAAGCAGAACTTTCATCTGATTGGTTGTCTCTACCTGGGGCCCGAGACATTTTCTTTGAGGTTTAAAAAAATCCCACGTAGCTGCAACATTGCTTCCGTAGCTAGGTGGGACTTTGCTTCAGGTGGGGCTCTTTTTTCTAGGAATCCTCCTGTTTAAACCAGTGCTACCAGAATCTCGTTTCTCAGAAAAGTCCCGTCTAGCAGGAACTGTAGCCATGTGTAATAACCTCTTAATTCACATTTTTAAAAGCATGCAAAATAATACATCTCCAGCGCCTTCCATACATAACAAAATGTAAGAAGAAAGGCTTAAGATAAGGGTACTGTTCTGTTATCAGGACCACATACATTAATGTATGTACGTATGCATGTATGGATTGATGGATGTGCTCATGTATGCATGTATATATATGTACATATACACATACATACACACATGCATACATTCATACATTTCTGAATTCAGTCTTGACAACACAGCAGTATCAAAATAAGTACACACAAATATAAATTGTTTTAAAAATTTTTTAAGTATAATTAAATTTTAGTTTAATTGAATAGCAGTAAAAGTAATGTAGAGAGAATTTATGTAGACAGAAAAAAAAGAGGGGGGGGAAGATAGAGAAATGGATGAGAGCAGTGCTTTATAAATCTAAGTACTCTGCATTTTTCTCCAACGCTTGATGGGCAGCTTTGACTCTTGCTTCAGGATCTCGTTCCCTCCAAGCAGTTTGCATAACTATCACAAATAAAAACATAATTACTGAATGCAGTAATTCAAGAAATAAGTTATACATAACATATTTGGTACTTTAAAGAATTTCTTATTTATATCTGCATATGCGTAACATACAAAGAAATGCATAATGCATAAAAATGATCTATAAATTCTTAAAAGATTAAAAAAATAACTATGAAAAAAGTAGACACAATAAAAACACAAAGTTTACATATGTTATTACAATAATTAAAATCATGTCAGTACCAAATCACTGATGCTTGAGATAATCTTACTAATATTCAGTTGTAGTTTGATTACATTCCTAAAATGATTTAAAAAGTAGCTGTTGTTTGAGTTATGAATGTTTCAAGCCCTGCAGTGTTTGTTACCTACAATATATACATACTGTTCTCAACATGCTTTCACACAAACAAAAGGAACATGCTCCCCATATAGTTTATGTCAAGATAATAGGTAAATACATCCCACCAAATCCATTTATAAAAAGGATCCAATACAAAAAGTTTGATGAAAACGAGATGGGTACAGCAAATCTTATATTCAGAGCTAGATTAACCATTACGCAAAATATGCATGTATTTAAGTCATCAAAGAGAGACGACATCACAGAAAGATCCCACTATTTAATTTTACTATGGAATGTCTGCTGCAGCTAAATCAAGATCAAGAGAGAGGAAATGGAGCGGAAAAAAGGTATGAATGTAGAAAAAAGTATGAAAGGTCCATCAAAATATTTTAAGTGCTTAAGGCATCTAAAAACTTCAATCCAGCCCTGTATACATTGCTAACATTTTTTAGCAAATAATTTTTTTATGTGCATCAAGGACTTTTGGACAATTTTTGTACACTACAGCAGACATGGGAAATCTGCGATTTTTTGTGCATTTCTCTCAAATATAAAGAAAGCCATGTTTAAATAAATTAAAAACTCATTTTGGAAATTTTTGTAGTTCTTATTTTCACATATTGCTTTCCCTTCCACTAATTAAGTTTAATATCATATCTTAAAAAGTAAATCTATATACGACTTAAAACATATATTTCAATACTTATTTCAAGTTACAAAGTAATTAATGAATTTCATAAATATAATTTATTATGTTTATGAATTTTATTAATTAATAAACATGATTTCACTTTGGCTATAGCATTGCAGTAGCATTTGATTGGCACATAATGCATATGATATCTTACAGATAAAACTGATTTCTCAGAAGATAGTGTTTGAATGTTTGCATTATTAAAAAAGGAATGTTTTCTAACAGGAACAATAAGGAGTGGCAGAAAATATTTATCAAAAAAATAAGAAAACCTACATTTAAAACAAAAGATATTACTATGTGGTTGAAAAATAATTCATTGGTTCTATCACGAAAAGACAACTACATATTTTTACAATGCTTAAATGATATGACATTGCATCACGAGAGTTGCATCTAGAATTACACGTAGCAGTGTTGAGTTAAAATTTTAAAAAACATCAAGTAGTATCAAGTAATAAGTTCAGTGGATAATGTGAACTATATAGATCATTCTAGATTGAAGCACTCCTTTTCATGCCAATCATTTATTTAATCGCCAAAAATCTTTTTTTCTTTTTTTTTTAAACAGAACTTTGAATTCTTATTTTAAATAAACCTGAATGTAAACATAGCAATACTAAAACAATAACTTACTGAAAATTTACTTGTGTCAATTATTATGTCACTAACTGGCAGCAGTTTCCATCAAAGGAAAATTTTATAGCATGGAAGGCCAATAATGAAGATAGGACAAACTAAAATTAAGGATCCTGCAACCTGATTCTTGAGGGAAACATAATGATTAAAGTGTACAATCTCACTTCTGTGAAACCTATTATAAAAAATCATTCCTCCATGTTGGAAAGTGTTTTCAAAAGCATCACATATTAAAAGTACAAAATTGATCTACTTATGTTAATACATACAATCAATGTAAACATTTAAAGAAATGTCTTTTTACAAAAATATTTGTTTTCATATGAAATAATCTTATATCAATACTTTTCTGGTAAGAACTGAATAAATTTCCACCTTTATGGCAAATTATTAAAATTTGATAAATAGTCAGCAAGCAACTTTATGATAAAGTGTTTAGATGTCTGATAAAAGTTAAGCGCAGTAAAGCCCAGCTATAATGAACTCAGAGTACAGCAACTTCCAGATATAGCAAATGAACATGTGCCCAATTTTCCTACACATTTGATGTTATTTTATACTGCTACAGCAAACCTCTAGAGGTATGAAATCATATATAGCAAAATGTTTTGGATATCTTTGATTTAAACTTTTCTTTGTTTTTCATATTTTTTCCAAAATTTTTGCAAGTGTAAATAAAAAAATTACTAACCCTTAAAATTATTCACATTTAGTATACTAGCATCCAGATTTCCTCCATAAAGAAAAACACCTTTTATGTTACTTCTCTTTTACCTTCAGTTCGTTTCCTTCCTCATCTAAACAAAACCTCTACAAGACAGGTGTGAACCCAATTCTAGGTGAATAATAAGCATGTCTTAAGACACCATAAGGTGTTAATGAACACAGAACCAAAGAACCTAAAGGGATTCTCTGATTTAATTCAAAGTCTTTGACTGAACTGTCAGACAAAGCTCTATTCAAGCGAGTGTTTCTATGAAAGAAATTTTGAAAATTTTGTCATTTAAAAAAAAAAAAAAAAAAAAAAAGGAAATTGTGAATTGGTATGAGCTTTGGACTATAGAGTTGCTTCATCTTTCAGAGTAGAGTTTCTTAAACTGTGGGTCGCGACCCAACTGGAGTCGTGGGACCTGCAATAGGGAGTCGACAAAAATTTTAGCAATTTTGATATTTCTTTCTCTTATTCTTTTCATTCTTTACTTTTGATATTTCTTTTAATTTTACAATTACAATATATTTTTACAAAATATATCTGAAAATAGATAAAGACAAGATAATGCAGACAAAGAAAAACAAAATCGTTTCAACACAATTTTTTTTTATAACATAAATGTTCATTTTACTTTAAAAATCAAAGGCAGTGACCTAAAACAGCTATAGTATGTTACTGTACAAATAAAAAACAGATAATTTCACTCATGCATGTGTCGAATTGCACAATGCTCATGGGACTCCACAAAATTTTTGTAAATATTAGAGGGTCCCACACCAAAAAGTTTAAGAAATCCTGTTTTAGAGATTGAAATTTTGATCCTTATCAGTTTGTAGTGTTTGAATATAAATGGTCTCCATGTTATGTTCTTCAAATATGGGTTTTGAGTTCTTTAGGTCTTTCAATTAAGATTTGTTTTGGATTCTTTAGGTCTTTTGCAAGATGTAGGACATTCATCATGAAAGTTGTAATGTATTTTTTCTTACCTCACTGCCTGCCTTCATAGTATAACTGGAAAGCATGTCCAGCTAACATTGGAAGGTCTGAAAATCAAGTTCGAGCGAGGCATAGCACAGTTTTTATGTCTCCTGCTTTGAAAAAAACAAATGACTCAACAAAGGCACCCAAACTAAAATGTGGTGGATGATAATTCAGCCCCACCAGTATTGGCAGTTGGGTCCTCTCCTTCCCAGTTGCCCTTTAAGTTGGGGAGAATGTAAGGTATTTTCTCCTTCCTTACTACATGCTTTCATGGAATTGGAATCAATTGGAATTAATTGGAAAGCACATCCGGCTAGCATAAGGTCTGAAATTCCAAGTCCCAGTGAAATCAGAGCACATTTTTCATCTGTCCCACTTCAGAAAACTTAATATTTCTACAAGGTTATTGAATCTTTGTTTTAAACTATGGATAACATTTTCCTGCAACCTGCATCAAAAATTACGGATTCTTTTTGTACTCAGAAGTAAAGTAAAAATTAAAAGTACATTTTTCAGTGTTTTTCATCATTCATTTTTAGCATTTTTATATTATTATGGATAAAATAATAAATTATTATTATTATAAATGAGCAATTTGAAGGAAGAATCATAACATTGATATTTATGCTAAGTAATTTATTGTACAAAATTATTTATGTATATAAAACTGAAAAGAACAAAAGACAATTTTATAGCAACATATAATTATTGTAATTATATATAATATGATTTATTATCAATTAAAATTTATTATTCATTTCTTTTGGTTGATGTGACTATGTTAGTTTCTTCTTTTTATTTATTATTTAATTTTGTTATATTTTTATGATATAATCCATTTTTCTCATCAGATTGGGTCCAGCAAACCCTGAACTCTGGTCCCGTGAAGTTCATTATAGAGGGTCTGACTGCAGACAGAAGTTTAAAAAATACATGGCAATTCAAAAAGAGTGCATTATTAAACATCTCTTCAGCAGCAGTCTAATTCAAGATATTAATCGAATAAGGTATGCTCTTTGTATATGAGACTTTTGTGCAAAAGATATATTTGAAATTAAAATTTTTATAAGGGCTTCTATGAAGAAAACTAATTTGTAAGTTATTCATTATCTTACAACACATCTTATAAAGGAAAAGGTCCATAAATTCAAAAGTAGCCCAAAATTTTGTTCAAATATGATTTAAACTACTTTGACTAAAAAAAGAATTTCATTTCAGGGGCTATATAAAACTGAATTTCAATAAATACAAAATTTTAAACTTTTGATATGACATGCTGACATTTAATGGATGTTTTTCAAGGCGACAACAGATTGCTGAGTACATGGTAAACAACAGCATTAAGCAATGCCAAATTTGTGCAATTCTCTAATTCATTCTTAAGTGAAAACAGATGACTGTATATAGGGAGAACAGGAAAAAAAAAAAAAAAAAAAGTAAGTTTTAAATGTATCTTGCATTTTTAATTTTGTTACTTGGCAATTGTTTTATGTCATTCTTAGTGTGCTGCTATTTTTGAAAATTCTGTTGTCTTTCATGTCTTAACTTGGCAAAAAATTAATTAGCAACAGTTGGTGATATCTTAGAGGAGAGTGCGGATAATCAGAAAATGATGATTTTTCTTATTTAACTTTTTCCCGGGGGCTGAGACATATATGTCCCTCACTTTCACTACTTTAAATGTGTCTCAAGAAATTTCAGTAAACTATGGAGATTTAAAATTTACTCCTTAATATGGATTAGGAAGAGCAAGATCTTGTCGATTTGTTTTTCTGTTCCTTTTATTTAAAATAAGTGACTAAATGGCCATAATACATCCGAAATTGGCCCCTATAGCCCACGGGAAAAGATTAAAATTTTCCCCATAAGTTTAAATACAAAAATTTTTAAATTTTACATATTTTTACCAAGAGAACCTGAACAAGATTTTCTAAAACGTCGATCATATCGGATTCATTTCTTAAATTAAATAAACCCTTTAAGAGATATTTAGTTACACAATGTTTTTCAAACACTGTATATAGACAATCAGGATGGGTGACAAACACACAAATACTTTCTTTATCAAGCTAGTAATTAAACTCAATAAATTATTTTGTTGTAAATTAAAATTTTCTTAAGATGATTAATAAATAATAAAAGAAAAGACTATCACTAATCTAAAAGATACATACTTTCATATTCAGGTTTATTAGCATCAGCTTCACAAGTGAAGAAAGTCTGATGATCTTGAGCAGATAAATTCATATCATAATATGTTAAAGGTTCTTTGTTTGTCGTCCACAGGAATCTGTTATACTCAGATCCTCTAAACAAACTGAGAGGGTTTCGCCATACCTTGCATTCTTGAAAATAAGATTATGAAGAAATTTAATTTATCACCATATATAATACTTAAATGCAAAACTAATTAATAACAATGTCTTAAACCACAATGTCTGCTAAAGAGAAAATATTATAATCTAATAATCTATTTTGCATATATAAATTATAACCATTTTCAAATATAAGTCATCATTTTTGTCAACAATATCATAATTTTGCTCACACAAATAATAATGAAAAAGTCCTTTATGCAATAATGCATAAAAATATTATCTTCAAGATGAATAATGATTATGCTAATATTGTTGATAATAGAGAATACAAGAAGTAATACAAGAATAATTGTATAATAAGATTTTCCAATTTAAATGAAAAATATACATAATCTTTAATCAGACATTAAAAAATTTTTCATTTCACAAAAATTATGAAACACATTTTCCCAATCTAGCTTCTCAAGAGTATCTTTTTATATAGAAGCATTGTAAAGACTTTGGCCTTTCTTGTCCAACCAAATTCTGCTGAATGCATATCATTTGAGCTTTGCAAGTTTTGTGTTGTTTGCCATTAAAATAAATTGTGTCAATTTATTGTATAGTTCTGTAACATCAATATCACAGAAATACTTTTTTTTTTTTTTTAAATTTTTTGCTAATACAAATCTGATGCATTCTTTATATCCTCAAATTTCTGTAAAAATTACTTTAAAATTAAATTGAAATCAAAACAAGGCAATTCCCTAACAATATTATTAATTGCAACCGAAGAAAAGGTCTAACACTGTAGCAAACCATTATCAAATTAATAAAAGAATTCATCATTAGAATAAACCCTATAAATAAAAATGCAAATGGTAATGTAATAAAAATAAAAATTAAAAATAAATTTCTCTTGCCTGAAACCCTAATTCAGAACTCATCAGGAGAAAATTAATTAAAGTTTCAGAAAAGTCGATTAAGTGTCTCAAATACGTGTTTCTTACTTCTGAATCATTTGAGACCAAACACCAATAAAAGATTCAATTAAATTTTCAATAAAAACTTTGAAACCGAAAATCGAATCTCAAATGGATCCAGAATTTTCCCTACATGCATTCGGTCACTTGGAAAAAAAAGGAATGAATAGAAAACTTGGAAAGAAAAGAGAAAATGAATAAAATACTACATTATGCAAAAATGACTATACTAAAAAACAAAATATGTCTAAGATGCATTACATGCAAATCCGACTTTCAAAAGCAATAACAAATTAATGAATAAAAGAATTTACTTTTAAATAAAATTGCCATTACAAGAAAACTTAAAAAATGGGTGGTCCCCGATTATGCGAACCTTAAACTTTTAATACTAAGAAAATGATAAACTTTCCAAAAAAGATTTCCTTAAATAACATAAATTCTAATCCGAGCCTTAATTGCCTAAAAAACTATCAACCTATTAGTAAACAAAATTATTGAACAACCATAAACTTACTGAATTCCTTACAGTGGCAATTACTAATACTGTTAGGGAATTTTCTTGTTTTGATTCCAATTTAATTTTAATTTATATATATACAAGTAAAACAAATATGTAAATCAGCTTTATAATTAAATTTAATAATCTCTTAATTCCTCATTTTTAATTTGGGTATTTCCTTTCTGCATTCTAAAAGTGGTAATAATTGTTCTGAATTGTGCCACTTCTAGACTAATCTACGTCACGTGTTTAGTCTAGAAATGGTTTGCGTAATCCTGATGATTTAGCGAACTTTAACTCAAAATTTTGAGAACTGAAACCTTTCTAACCTAAATCAAAACCTTCTCTTCCATATTCGATAAATGTGCTTCTACTTATACTATTATGCTGCTTGGATGCTATTTCTCTATGCTTTTCTTCCTATCGCAAACTTATCAAAAATGCAAAAGTTCTTGAATAGGCACAATTAGAGTGCTGCATAAATTATGGCCCCAAATGTCAATTTAAATAAAAATGGAATTACCTCGACTGCCAAGTTTCCTGTTCACTATGGATCTATGTTGCATGCCAAACAACACTGCTACATATTTATCTCTTTTTTTTTTTTTAATCACACACACACACACACATATATATATGCATTGCTTCAATTTTGCTAATATTTTATCACAAATAACACAGAATGTATTTATTTTCACTAATATAATCTGATGCATTCTTTACATCCTCGCATTTCTGTAACAGTTACTTAAAATATAAGGTAAATTTTCCCTTTTATATATATACACAAATTTTGTTTCAATTTTGCTAAAACTTTATTACAAATAACATAGAGTGTAATTTTAAATCTGCTAGAGCAGTTAAATCGATATCTTTATCTGTTTAGTTGTTATCAAAAAACCATTACATTTGATATTACCAATACCTAATTTTCAATTTCATTATATTTATTCCTTAAACCAAGCAAGTGTTGCAATAAACTCTGTAGAAAATTTATGTATATTATTAAATTATTAGCAAGGATCTTGTACGTATTTCCTAAATGCATCTTCAGTGACAGTCCCACCCCCTAATAACAGACATTAGAACAATCTCTGATTTCCTTAGTTTTCTCTCAATGTATTTTGCTCTGGCCAGAAAGGAATGCTTTGGCATATTCAAAATTTTATCTTGAAACTAGTGAAGAAATATTCATTATATACATTTTGGATTGCTTTTATTGCACCTAGTCAGCATGAATATCTAATATGAGAAAGTTTTTAACAGTGACATATATTCTATTTTCAACAGGTATGGATTCAAACTTTCCAATAGCTAGGCAATACAAAGCTATTCAACAAATTCCAAAGCATTCTAACAGTTAGGAAAGAAAATGTATATATATATTTCCCAACCGTTGCATAGCAATAAATTTTCATTCTACATTTCTTTAGGATTTTAATTATTTTAGATCCAGACTGCTTGTAGCAGAATGTAAATTTTAAATCTTGTCAGTTACTTTTTTTTTTTTTTTTCAATTATGAAAAGTAATCTCATCATAGGATTATAACAAACCAGGAACAAGGTTTTTCTAAGAAAAGAACTGAGTGTTTTAAATAATGTCTGAGTATTGTTGGCATTTAAAAATAGAAGTAATTAATTTACTACATTGAAATTCATATGCATACATATTTCAATTTTAACATTTGGAATTCTATATCTACATCAATTAGTTTAGGAATTTTTTGTATATTTTTATTTGATTATTTCTGGATTACATTGTCAGTTTTTAGACATGTTTTTAAAGTTGACAAAAGCTTGGCAGTTACTAGGCAGTTTGCAGATATTCTTGAGAGGTTCTTTATATACAAAAGGTTATTAGCCAGTTAGCATTTAAATGAAAAGGTCAATCTTCCAAGAGAAAAAAGAGAGTCCCCCCGGATATTATTTTGTCTTTAGTATGAGAGTAGGAAACACTCCCCCCTTGTTGAGACTAAAGAAATATTGGGGAAATCTGACTCTTTAAAAACAGGGTGCACATTCAAAGAGAATAAGATTTTTGACTGATTCTCGGAGGGAAAATAAATCTTTGCTCCTCTAAAGGATGTCCCTTTTTACTAGTGTGGCCCATAGAAGGTTTTAGCAGTTCTGATTTTATATATGAGACTGAGGATTTGCTCCTGGGTCAGTGTAGCATTTCATGCCATGCTTATTAATTTCAAGATTACTTTTCTGGCCATCCTGCTGTTATCATGATTTGAGTGCAAGCAAGAATTTGCATAAGACTATGAGCTACATATGAGTCTCCTCTTTCCTATGATATTGCAGAGATCCTTTTCGCCACCTCACAAACCAGTTAGAGTCCCTGTATTATTCAGCCAACCACTCACTAAAAATTGAGTCTTGCAGGTTCACAATACAGACCTAAGTAAAATTTTTCTCTAAATGGGTTTTTACATCTACACAGTATGTTCAGTTTCTTTTTCTGGGAGGGTACATTCCAGTTAGACAACCAGCTTGTCGGCAAAGCATGCTAACTGGAGAAGAGTTAGTTCTATCACCTCATCAACTTAACTGCAAGATAACAAGAATGTATTACTTTTCAATTTACTTCTGTCCTAACTAATATGGGTTTATTATCTTTTTTCTATCAGTTGCCAGCTAAAAAGCAATAAGCTGTCACTACCTGAAAAGGGGGGAGGGCAATTTGTCATCATATCTCAATATCTATTAAAAAACAGAAGCTGTAGAGAAAATTAAAAATTATGGATAAACTGGTTTTTAATTTACACTTGAAGAATTATATGTTGAAACAGATTATCTGAAATATGTGTAATATGACTATAGAAAGTAAATTCTTTTAAATAGCCTAAATTAAAGGAAGTATGTTATTTAAACTTAGCACTGGTTACTTTGTTTATGTGTGGATTTATTTTTGCAGCCACCTCACAGTCTTGCTGACCAGTGTTGTTGCAAATTTCATGTTTGTTTGTTTGTTTGTCTAAACACAATGGAATCAATCTAAACCTTTTACTATTTTTAACGATAAGGGTCACACTATTAAATTAAAACATAGCTTGAAGACAATATTGATTAATTAATTAATCCATGTAAATTAAGTGAATGTGCTCTGCAAGACATACAATCTGCTGTTTTATTATATTGCTCAAGTCTAGTTTGCAGATCTTTATACTGACCAGATATTTTTGCTGCATTATTATTAGCTTTAATCTCCACAGTCTTTAATAATTATATCTAACAAATTAGCTTATCCAGCTTTGATTCTAATGATACAAAAGAAACCAAAGAAGCCCTTCACACATCGATCACTATTAAAAAACAAAGTAATATAATAGTAAATTGATCAGCATGCATTATAGAAGGCAAGCCCAGGTAGTACTGTGTGAAAAGTGGTAAGCACACATGTGTCATAGCAGAAAAGGCTCTTAAAAGAATAGATTTCTTCAGATGAAAGCAGAAACATAACACTACTAGCAAATGCCATTTTGTGTGTACAAACCCCAACATGTTTAAGGCACTAAACAAGTATGTTCTTTTCACTCTATTTGGAAGTAACATACAGATATGAAAGCCTAATGTTTCTACTATTAAATAATCATATCCTTGTCCGCTATGTTACACTAGAACAACTACTGCTTTCTCTGTATCAACAGTAAGAATTAATCCAAACTCCCAATACTTCAGGAAAATTAACTTTATATAACATAAAAGAAAAATGTCTTACCAGGACCTGCTTGTTGATTGTTGTTAGAGTTCCCACAATTACCATTTCCATTGCCTTCATTACTTGATGAACCATTTGAAGTAGTTTCTCCATTATTATCTCCTCCACCCAGCCAAGGAGAAATATGATTCAGAGACACTTGTTCAATAAATGAAGTGCCATATTTTCTAAAATACCACCACTCAAATATCTAAAAGATCAAAAAAAAAAAAAAAAAAAAAAAAAAAAAAAAAAACTAAAGAAACATTAAAGAAAACTAAAGATTAACTAACTAAAGAAAACAACACTTCTGAGTTACAGCAGTCATCATGAAAGAAAATCATCAAGAATAAACTGCACAGCATTAAAATTGAGATTTTGGATGACAATAAATGGGGTAACTGGGGCATTGCAATGAAAAACTTGTTATATCATCTTCATTTATTACCACTTTTCCACATTTTTTTATAAATTCCATAAATTGGAAACTTTGATTTTTGATTATGATATCCTAAAACCTTCAAATCTGTGGCTATCATCATAAAGCTTAGGATCTGCTATACATCATTGACGATATATCATGAGATTGATAGCTGGAGATGCACTGTTCCATTAAAATTTGCTGCTATTGCACACTGAAAAAATTAAGCCAGAATTATATTAGTGTAATTATTTATTATACTTACATCTATTTCTCACATATGCTGAAAGCTTATCAGAGCCCTGAATAAATAAATCCCCATATATGCTTAAGGTTTATTTGAACAACGAATCAATTATTCTTAATTCAAACAGCATTAAATATAATCTTTTGATCGAAGAATATCATTTACAAAATTGATTTTTTGCATATGGAAAGAAAATGCTGATAAATTTCTCTTTGTCAACCCAAGCTGCAGCACGTTTGGCTGAAGTTTGTAATCGTCACAAAGCATAATCTCAACGCATATAGATTTCCGTGCTGTTTGGTATTCAATTATGAATATTTTTTAAAATTGTTTTAGCTGTCACTGTGTAAGATATTTCTTAAGCTGCCATGAGCTGATAGTCACATGGCAATGAAAGCAAAAACTACTAAAAGAATTATTCACCAGGTTGGTATCAGGCATGTTATTCAGTAGGCAGGGTTGTGGAGTCGGTAGGGAAAATGACTGACTCCGACTCCCAGAATTTTAAAGACTCCGACTCCCTCATATATATATATGTAAACATATACGCATGGGTTACAGCTTATTTTATTAATATAAAATAATAGTAATATATGCTACAGAAAAAATATTGATGGCATAGCAAATTATTTATATTAATTAACATTTATTATGAAATGGGAAAACTAGCACTAGTTATTTCTAAGAAACAAGATAGCTTCGGCAAGATCTTCTTTGTTGGAGGGCCATAGATCTGATTTGATAAACTTCAGAGCTGAGAAATCTTTCCACACTTATTTGAGTACAAGGAAGAGCTTTTACTGTTAGGCCTACTTCTTTTAACTTTTCAGGATAGATTTTATAAGTTCTAAAAGAGGTGTCTTGCAAGTACAGTCAAAAGTCGTTAATTCGGACACCCATAATTCGGAATGATCTATAATCCGGACATCAAAACTAAAAACTTTCTGCGCATGCGCCACGTTGACACATGCGCAGAGGCGTTCACGCGTGCGCGTAAGACCTTTTACGACTGCGCATATGAGTGTGCGCAAGTGCAGAATACGTTTTCACGTGCGCATTTTATGTATAATGGATGTATAAGCTAAAATTATCTAATTATCTATTTCAGTTAATGTTGATGATTGCGTTGTTCCTTAATTTTCGAATTGCATCCGGCTTATTATTTTTTGCAGACTGTAAGAGCAATTTTATAAAAGTAAGCTTAAACTTTCGATTATATCAAATAGAATTTCCGATATATATTTGTTAATATGTAAAGGATCTAAAGCGAAAGTATGTTTTGAAATCCGAAATCTGTTTATCAATTTCACGCTGCTCGGCGGCGGGCGCCTAATGAATTGGAAGTTGATTTGTCAGCACTATCCTTATCTTCAGCGCAGATGTTTATTTTATTTGGCTTATAATTCCTTACCAAATGTAGTATTTCATTTCGATATGTTCCATCTTTGATATGATTTAAAACAAGTTCCTCGTCATTATAATTCGCTTCCGATAGCGAAGAAAAGTGACAGAGGTTATTGAAAACAAAAAAATTTCGATTGACAAATTAGTCGGTGTTCTTGACACAGCAATTATAGGACTTGAACGGCGGAACTTTGTAACTGAACAAGAAATTATGTCTGTTTAATAGAATTAAAGAGAAAGTATTATCACATGAAACGAAGCAAAACTTAAAACAACTTACATTGAAAGAAATGTTTAATAAAGTAAACAAATAAATATTAAGCTTTTTCTTTTTGCAAATTTTGATACCTTTTAGATCATAATTGTTCTTTATTTCATAAATTACGGTTTCATATTTTTAATTTTAGAATTTCTGCATGCCATCTTACGAGATTTAAACTGATGATCTATAATCCGGAAAAATCGATAATCCGGAATCGCCGAAGTCCCGACGAGTCCGGATTAACGACTTTTGACTGTACAATCATATTTCTCTATTTCTTCAAAGGCCATGCAGAAATCTTGCTTGTATTTTTTCATTTTATATCTAAAGGCTCTTGGTCCTTTATTTCCATTCACTTTGCCCTCGCCTTTTCAATATTATCCAAAAATATTTCTTAAAATCTAATTCATCACTGGAAGAGGATGATAGAGACTCAATAGCAATGTCTGCAGTTTGACTGTCCTGATTCGAATTCTCCAATTGTTCTGAGAATAATTTTATTCTTAATGAAAGTTCATAGATGGCTTCTTTTCTGTTTTAATTTGTTTGTCATCTAAGAAAATTTAGCGTTTCGGATCTACATATATTGAACCCAGCAAGATCATTGTCTAGCAAACTAGTTTCTCTTTCTTCATTGACGAAATGATTCCTTTTGCAATAAGCCCTCCATTTCAGAAAGAACAAGCATCACATTCTTCTATTCTTGTCTCCTGTCAATTCTTTAGACTGAAGTTTTTTGTGGCTATATATGGTGTAGAAAGAAGAGCTTCCAATTCTGCAAGATCATTCTACAATTTTTCTGTTAGTGAAATATTAGTTATCTACATCTTCTAAAAGAGTTTTTAATTCTAATAACCTCTTTATCAACAAATATGTAGCTCCTTATCGCATTGCTTGATCAGTAAGTCTCCTTTTCCTGCTCGCTTCCTAAGAATAGCATCAATTTTGGGAGTTCTTTCTGCTATTGCTGCTTACCTAAATTTACCAGTGAGGTTTGTAACTATGAAGCAACTAAATGAATCAGTTTAATTAATAATGGCAAATATCGCATCCATCCTCTTCCCTTATATTTATTTATTAATATGTCAATAAAATAGAAAGTTCAAGAAAATAACAATTCAAGAATGTGGAAAGAAAATAACTATTTATTAATGTATATAGTCCATAAATAAAAATCATAACTCAGCTTATAATTAATTTTTTTTTTCATTTTAATTTCATTTCAAATTCAAATTTTCCAACAAAAACTGGAGTCGGAGTCGACCTGTTTTTAGTGACTCCAGCTTCGACTCCTTTCACCCCAAAAGCTGACCAACTCCGATTCAAACTCCATGACTCTGAGTCCACAGCCCTGTCTGTAGGTGCAAAATCAGCAGTACATTTTGGTAGAAGTTTTGGTTTTGAGACACATATTAAGCAAAAAGACGACTACGGATACAGATATAGGGTAATAAATTATTGTGTTTCTTCAATATGAAGGTGTTTTATTGAGTGCCAAAGTAAAATTAAGAATTTATTAGGAAAATATCTTCTGTGAATGTCCTTTGTCTTCCTTTATTGTGAATAATGTCTCCTGTGCTTGCATGAAGCATATGTTAAAGTGAAATGCTATTATTAGAACACAATTCTTTCCCTCTTTACACAAAATATCCTCACAGCACAAGAAAAAAAAAAGTGTTGGTGGGCCAAAGATCGGGATATTGGACATGTGGATTTTGGACTTTGTACTGTCACAAATTAGAATTTTTAATCAAATTTGTACTATCACAAAATCAGAATTTAAAATAAATTTTCACTTACCAATATGAGTCCAGATATCAAGGACGATGTTCCTGTCAGAGCAACATAAAATTTAGGAGTCAGAGTGTTCAAGAACATAGAAGCTGGAAAAAGATATAACATGCATTAAAGAAGCTAGAAATGAAGAAAAGAAATAAAATTAAATTTTCAAAGCCTGTAGCAAATGATATATACAACTTTCAAGCACATTTTTAGTCACATAAATAGTTTATAAAGAAACATATTTTTAAAACAGAAAAAAATGATTTTTTTATGGTTGTTCTTTGCTAAATACTTCATTAATTAAAGATGTACATTTTGCACACACACACACACACACACACACAAAAAAAAAAAAAAAAAAAAGTGGGGGGGGGGACATAGACCAATTGCCAAAATTTAGCTTGTGTTTTCCATGTCTCAAAAGTGCGACTTAGGATATATATTAGATTTATACATAGCATTGTTCTAACATGGGTATTTTGACACAAAATCGAGCTCTTTCTGTAAAAACATACCCAAGAATAATTCACTTGGCAAATTTCTTAATTTATACCAACCTATTTTCCTTTCCTTTTTTTTCACTGTACATGAGTAGAAAAAAGGTCATCATTCATACTTTCAAATATTTTAACAAAGTGCATAAACCACATTTGGCGTAATTATTGGTTATAACAAATATGCCAAATTTCCAAACGTGCTAATATGTAAATTCTCGTACATGTTAGGAAATTTTGAATGAAAAACTTTAATTTTTTGCAGGTATGCTTAGAAATACATCTACTTTAAGATGATGGTAAAAATTTTATATAATAATGGTAAAATATATAATACAAAATTTTTTTGAAAAATTTATAAAAATTATTTTAAAACAGAGATTTTTAAAAATAAATCATAAAAATAAAAGAATTGTATTTGGAATGAACTTTAATTTTGAAATGTGAAAGGAAGAATCAAATAAGTTTAATGAAAAAAAGAGATATTTATAAATATCTACCAAATTCAATTGACATGGAGGAACTATAATTTTGAGATATAATTTCTTAAAACTACTCGTGCAGTTTTTACAAAACTTGGCACTCTGGCATAATTTGAGATAGTAGAATCGAAATATGGAAAAAAAAAATGGTATGGTAATTCAGTAAAAGTCCAATTTTGTGTCAAAATACTCATATTAGAACAATGCTATATATAAATCTAATATATATCCTAAGTCGCACTTTCGAGACATGGAAAACACAAGTTAAATTTCAGCAATTGGTCCAGTATAATGGCAGATACAGAACTGTCCCATTTTTTTTTAAGCAAGATGTACAATTAATTCCTGCTCAGCAACAGAATTTTTTTCAGCAATATTTAAAATTAAGAATTTTTATACAAAAATACTTGCTAATCAGTCTGCAGCAAAATATTTAATTTGATCATTTATGCTTACACACTGTTTTTAGAAACAAAATATGACTAGGCTCTAGTGTAAAATTGGGTACCTCTTCAATTAGTGACAAATTTTGTTCAATTTGGTGATGAAACCCCATTTCTGATTACCACAATAGTTTTAACTTTGTTTTAGCTTCTCGATTTTTTTTAGTGTAAATAAATCAATATGTACATAGGCAAAGTTCAGGCAGTGCGCAATGCCTAGTTTGTGCAATTCTCCGATTTTTTTGAAGTGAAAATAGATCAATGTGTACATGGACACCGAGTTTGTGCAATTCTTCGAGTTCTTATTTTGGTTTTGCATAGTGGCCATTTTGAAATTGTGCTTTCCTGGCACCAATCTTAGGGTAAAAAAAAAAAAAAAAAAAAAAGAAATTGCCAAAAAAAAAAAAAAAAAAGGGGGGGGTGGGACACCCAATTGTAAACTTTTACAAAAGCAATTTTTTTCTTAACTTGCTTAGAGATAAAATGATTACGAACAGATTACGAATAATGAATCAAATGTTAGATTAAGCTAACATTTGATTTTCAATTAAGATTTTGGTACTTTTCTGTTAACAAGACCGGATTAAAAAATGTATGTATGTAAAGCCTGTATATATGTAAATACATTTCTGAATCCAATCCTGATAACAGAAAAGTACCCAGATTTTTAATAATGTAAGATGCATTTTAAATAGCAGATTTCTTTCTCATTAATCCCTAATAAATTTGAATAATAAATTACAGCAAAAATTTATCACTGAAAAAATATTAATTATCATAAAATAAAGGATGTGAAGTAAATTTATTTTATCTAGGAAGCAAAGAAACTTTAAAAACTTATACATACATTTGAGCTAAGTTTTAAAGGAAATAAAGCCCGTTAAATGTTTATATTAAAATACTGATAACATATGAATTACCAAAGTATATGCCAACATACACACACACATATATATATATCAAATTAAATTGATACTTATATAAATTAGAATACCGCACAAATAAAGAAAACTTGATTCCAAATTACTTACAGATTTCAAATCAGTAAGAACAATAATAACAGCAAAATTATGAAATGTGCACAGCTGAGAGTTCAAATTATATACTTATTTTCTCTTTTGTAATTAATTAGGTAATCAACTTTTTTTCTCCCCTTTGACTCCATATTTTTAAACATGCAAAAGTGTATATTATTGGACACATTTAAATACCTGCACAATATGAAACCATACTCTGAATGATATGTCAAGGTAAAAGGTTAGTATGCAATTTTCTATAGTGACCATGCATAACAGAATCTAAAACGATATGAAGTGCTTTTTCATTAAATAACACTAAAAATTTGATCAGTTTATTATTTATATCAGAAACGTTTCACTTTGTAAAAAAATCCAAAGCACAAATCATAAAAAAAAAAGCCAAGAACTCAGTTTTTTAAACTTTATTAGCATTACTTTAACTGTGCGAAAAATATAATTTAGAAGACCGAATGGAGTTTCATAGAATTTGCGCAGGGAGGTAGTTTCAGTCGGGTACCCAGTATACCTTTTATTAAGAATATGAGTATTGATATGAAAGGTGTGTTGCTCTGATTGTTCACATAAATTATTTATTTAAAGAGATATGAGAAAAACATTGTTATACTATGTTTACAAGCAGTATAATTATTTATTTGGGTATGGAAACACACGTACCCATGTTTAAATTCTCGTTAATTTTCAGCGGACCGCGTAAAACGTAAATAAGGAAAACTACGAGCATAAGCCAGAGTAACCACAAATATGTCCACGACCAAGTTATCCAACGTTTCGCTATGGATAGCAAATAACTAAAAGACCGCGCCATAATGCAACTCCATGTTGATTAGGAAACATCGGGAACAGCGTTGCCATATGTGACAGTTTGATGGAAGAAATTTACACAGTTGACGTTGAGGTAGCAATGCAAAACGGGAACTACTCCTGTGTCTCTTCTTCTTGGAAGCAGAAAATCCAAATTTAACGGCAGTGGCACTGCTGATAAATCATTCAAAATAGCAGAAAATTTATAGGAGACGTGTTTTATTTGCTTTTTGCGTTTATAAATGTTACTGTTTGTATTAGATGTAATGATAATTATTTATTTCTTGTAATCTCAACCGTTCAACTTGCAGAATGTAATAATATCTTCATGTAAAAAGGACTTATATCCATTTTTAAGAATATATTACTGACATAAATTATTATGGATTTATCAACTGTAAGTTAAATTCCGTATATAATCGGAAATGGTATTCTTGATTTATGCACTCTATTTATGAAAAAAATAAAAATAATACTCTGATGTTTCCTTAAAAAAAAAAAAGAAAAACGTGCAAGAATGTTTGCAAAATTTTTACAGATTGTTCATCAACATTTCTTTTTATTGTTTACAAATAAATTTGTCCACTCACCGCGTGATGAAATTTGACCGTCTATTTAGAAGGGGAGTTCGTTTCACTCCGGGAAATCATGAAGAGAACCCATCCAAGATTACGAATGAGTGAATCCCAATTACATTCTTATGAGTGTCCAGATTCCGCTATGAAACTGCGCCGAAGTCCATCTTCAGTACATCTAAATTTGTGAGATAAATTGCAGTTTTAGCCGAATCGCACCGAAACCCTAAATAAGAGGACTCTGGCTCTTGTTTTATGTGAGTCATAATTTTAGCAGAAAAATTTTTTATTTCGAAAATTTCATTTTAATTGTACATAATCCTTAAAAGTACATTTCAAATAATATATTTCTTCTCTTTTCTACTGCTGGTTATCTCAAAATATCAGTACAGCAAACTTATTTTGTTTAAGCAAAATCGTGTTTGCCCCTGAAGAAGAGGGACTTATGTCACACCCCTGAAATCATAATACCATGAGATCACCTCGAAATCGACAAAGTTTTATCATAAATCTTCTCCAAAATAAAGTTGCTATTTTCCACCTAATTTTAAGTTAAACAATGAGTTATTCATTTCCGGTTTTTATTTATCCACTTTCATTTCGCTGAATTATTCGTTTTAATTGTTTTAAATATTTTATTTATTTATTTCTGTTCCTCTCTGGCTCAGTCCTGTCCTTCCAAAGGCTTCCTCACTCTTAATTTTAGAAATTAAGGCTTGATTTCCTTCGGTCGATAACCCATAAAAAGGAAACATTGAAAATGTCCTGAACGAAGTGCTACTTTAGATAAATGGAAAACATTTAATTCTAAAATGTCGTAACATCAGTTTGGCGCCCCTTGGATTCTGCGCCCGGAGACAGATGCCCCCCTTATTCCCTTCTAGCTACGCCCCTGTTGATATTTTAATATTTTTTGGGCTTTGCAGGCATCATCTTTTCCGGCCTCAGCTAATCCCTGGATGGGGTTACACACGTACAAAACCTCAAGATGCTAGTAGGGAAAAAATAGCCAATATTTAGGAGCTCGGTTGTCATGCTTAGCTGTTTATCGCTCATTTGGCTAAAAGTACACAATCCTTTACAATCTTCGTGGTTTTTCCTGTGAAGATTTCTTGTGAATAACCAGTGTCATGGTATTTTCGAGTTTTAAGTGAATTCATAAATTCATGTTCTTTGTATACTAGGATTAAACCGGAATTAAAGGTGTTTGTTTGCAGCTGATGCGAAAAAAAAGAGTACTTTTGAAGAGCTGGAATGTTGCCGTGATTGGCTAAACTATTTGTTAAGTAAAAGCATAAATTCGTAATTTGTGCATGTATTGATTGAATACGGTACATTTTGTTTGAGTGTAATAATTTCCCTCTCTATGAATTTTCCCTGTGTCTTTGCGAGTGCATTTATTATTATTTTTTTTTTTAACTTTACATTCTGCACTTTAGCGACTTCAAATTAAAAACATAATTGTTATGATTCTCCACTAAATACTCAGTATGTTTGTGCGCCTTGTTTGTCCTGTAAATATTAACTTAATTTTTTTAAAAAATATGTTACCTACGAGACTGTTTTCATGGATCTGTATGAAACAAAGTATATAATAATGTTACATTTAATCAGTTATGCGATGCAGTGATCATTATTTTCTGTTTCAAAATTTTACTGAGGTACAATATTAACACTTTGATTCACTTTTTAATTATTTGAGACTTATAGTTAGTTTAAAAACTTTTCTTTATAGTTAGAAAGATTTCCCTTCAGCAACCTATTGTTTCTCAAGGAAACTTAGGATCATCTATGAAAATAAAAAAGAGATTTACTAAGTGATACTTTTTTATTGTATTGTTTTCAGTAAATTCCTTTTTCTGGAATACTTAAATTTGATGTAAAGGAAGTGTCAAATAAATTATAATGTGATACATAATATATTCTGTTTGCAACATAATTTAAATAGGAAATGGTGCTGTTATAAACACAATATAACAAAATACAACCATTTTAGCTCTTTCAAGATTGCTATCTTTTGGAAATTTTGATAATTTTTATATATTTGCAAATTTATTAGTTTCCTGGCAAAATTTTTATGTAAGATGATGTGTAATTTTAGAACATATATTGCAATATGAAGCGTACATAAGTAGTAGAAAAATAGAAAGGAAACTTGAAATATGTTTTATGTATAAAATTATGTGAAGTGTTATAAATTAATTTGTAATTAAAAAAAATTTGAATTATGTTTTAGAATGCTGCTATGAAAATGAAGATTTAAGCTTCAGTAACACTTTTTTTTTTTTTTTTTTTTTGTTAAAAGTTTATTAAATAATTTCAAAAAAGTGTAGTCCCAAAATGCAGCTGGCAATAAAATTGCTGAGTGTGATTATTATATGAGACTGTAGTTGAATCAGCTGTAGTTTGCCGTGGTAACAGACAAAAAAAAAATATAGAAAACAATCTGAAGGCTTTCAGATTTTATATTATGCCCAAGAGGTCGTATGTTTAACGTTTGTGTGTTACCGTTATTTATTAAATATCATGTTCTTTGCACTTAAACCATAAAATTCAATTCAACAGCAATATCACAAAATATTCAAAATGCATGTTTTTAGAATTTCTGATACACAGTCTCCTATGATGGAGATAAAAATGTTTTTTTTTTCCCCCGTACAGTATTGCCATTGCTTGCTTTGAAATCATTTAGTTTCTTAATAAATGCTGTATGAAATATGAACCAGATAATAAAACAAATTCCAAATGTGGGTTCCCAGATGCCCATATTCGCGTGGAAATGTACCTTATTAAAAATTTGATGTCTCTAGGTGTCGTTTTATCACAATGCGAGAAACATACATACATTTATGTAGATTCTTCTGGTAGCAACAATTTAAAAAGTGATTCGCCATTTATAGTGAATCAACGCAGAACGCTAAAATGAAAATTGCCCTTCTGGGCAAATTACCCCTTTAGGCTAAAAATATTGATTAATACTAAATTTTGAATAAAAGTAGTTTTTTATATTCATAAATGAAAACTTAATATTTAATAGGGAAATTAAAAGCTGTGCACATACATTTCCCTTGAAACTGTGATATCTGCACCGGGGAATTTTTTATGAAATTGCCCCAGGGAATAGAAATTTTTTATAATTTAAATCTGAAGGTACCTCTTGTTTAGAAAATTATCACAGTTCAACTCAAAATAGGTACATAATGTATTAATAAAAATAGGTACATAACCAGAGTCGTAGCTAGGGTTTTCAGCGCCCAGGGACAACTGAAGATTTCGAGCCCCATACTGCTTGCCAAGGATGGAAAACATTTAATTTTAAAATGTCCTAACATCAGTTTGGCGCCCCTTGGATTCTGCGCCCGGGGACAGATGCCCCCCTCTAGCTACGCCCCTGTACGTAATGTATTCCACTTTAGTAGAAGTCACCAAATTATCAGGATAGACCAAATTCTGGCAACTAATTTTTCATTTTTAACAAGCAGTGTCGCCATTTTTATATGTATTCATTCTGTTTTCCAAGTTCAAACAGATTTTTATAGACAAGTACTGATAGTTTTTATCTTAAACTGGATTTTAAGATATGTGCTTGTGGGATTTGCCTGTCACTGAAGAACCTGCAGTAAAATTTTTGCAGGAATACAATATTTTCTTACAAAATCACTAAAGAAAATGATTGCGTGGAGCATTGATATAATCGGACTAATTACTTTCTTAAGGTGACTGTCATAAAATTTCCACTAGCGTAAAGGAAATAAAATCTGTTAATAGGTTAATGCATTGATTTTCAGAATAAAGAACTAATTAAAGCTTAAATTACATATGTATGTAATAAATAATTTTTAGCAACTCTTAAATCATTATTTTGTATGTGTAAAAAATCACAAAACTATGTGAAGGTGGTAATATTAGTACATAAATACTCCTCTGAAGAATGTATGCAAGAGAGTGGGAAAAGGGTAAAAGAGAGTACCCTATATTATTGAATTAAAATATGTGTATTTCTTTGAATGTGGTAAGGGAAATGCAAGGTGCTATAGGAAATCATTTAATCACAAGATCTGTTCATTCAATGTGAATATTAATTTCCAGTCTAATTTGTCCAAAACAAATCCGCGGCCTTTCAGTTTGGAATAATATAGTTCCCCTTCCCAGTCTTTTTAGTTATGTGAGAGCATAATTTTATATTAAGTGTTTACTTGGAGGAAAGAGTTGAAGTAATCAATCTCTGAACCTGCATGGGGTTTTACTAAGAAAGCAAAAATGTTTCCCAAAATTGCCATGAGAAAGGTGTGATTTTAATATTTATGCTTCCACTGGCTAAAATGCTCCTATTATTTTATATCTGGATTTATGTATTTCTATTATATTCTCTTAATTACTTGGAGATATTTCAAGATGCATGTATATACACTTTCTTTAAGACATCACAAAAAATATTCATATAAGTTGTATATATATGGCCTTGCTGGTCGGAAGGTTAATAAAGCAATGAAAAAATTGAGAGGCAGAGCAATATCTTATTGCAAATGGAAATTACAGATTTTGATACTTCTTTATTAATTGGGTGCAAAATGATTAGAAACAGTGAATGTGGTAAATTATCAGATGTGATACTCTTCTTATATTAAGAAACTAATAAATCGTGTTTGGTCAGAAAAAATTTCTACCTTTATGAAATTGCATTTTATAATTGATTGAAGTGCTTATTTGAAGAAAGATAAAGAAATAATATAAGTAATAAATTCCGTAGCCTATCTTGGGATTAAAACATAGCTGCATTGATTGTGAGTTAACATAGTGGAGAAGAACTTTTCAGACGTGGCATAGATATAACACATTATTTTATTATATTATTTGTACAGCTAGTTCTGGGGACACATATTCATGTTTACACATTGTCATTATGGATGCGATAAGCACCCCACAAGTTTATATAACTGATCAGATTTCGAGACGATAGATGAAGTGGAAAAATGGGCAACACACATTAGCACAGCAAGAGGAAGGCAGGAAAATTAGTACACATTTCAGCAAAGGGGTATTTATAGAGTTGATTTCTTTGTTTAAATTTTGAATGGTAATTGGAAAAGAGCTGACCACATTGCAGAATTAATAAGATGACATAATGCGGATTGGTTCTCATGTGATGCACTGTAGATTCATAAATTATTCTACTGTTTACATCCTGAGTTGAATGTTAGTAGTTTTTAAGACAGGAACAGGATGTAGCTGATTAAAATGAGGAATTAAAAGGACTATTGCTAAATTTAAGTTAGTAGTTTTCTTTCATATTTTATATCTCACATATATATAATAAATATTAACATTTTGTAAGTAACACATTTTCTAGTTTAAAAAATTTTTCTTTTGCATAAAACCATGCAGATATTACATCGAGAAATTTAAATAGTGTAATAAAGATATCACAAAATAAATAATTTTGATTTTAATTGAGGTCTAAAAATTTTGTTAAGTATCAAAAACAGTAAACTTTCACTTTCGATAGGTTAAATGCAGATAAAAAGATGGTATTTTTAAAGTAAAGGGGAAGAAAAAGGTACTCGACTGAAAGGGTATTCAAAATTTAAGAACTGATGGTTCTCAAGTTGCTTTCATATTCAGAATTTTTGTAAATATTTTAAAATTTTGTATAATTACGAGATTTAGGTTTTCTTTTTATTATTTATTTATTTTCTTTTTAGGTTTTTTTTCTTTTCATGATCTGCTATGAAATTGGAATCTGTGCAGAATTGTTTCATCAAGCTTATTCAAATTTGTGGCAAAAATGGTTTTTTGAATATTGGGAGAACAGATAGTTCAACAGCTATTTGCTATGGGCCTTTAGGTTCATTATTGAAACGAAATGTATTTAGAGAATGGTATGATGCATTTACAGAATTCTTAAGTTTTAAATGATCTTATTTTTTTATTTTTTTAGTTTTAATTTCCATATTTTACTGCCATCTCATAAGATTTGAAAATTAAATAGTAGTATTTTTATTTTTAAAGTAATAATTACTTTTAAAATAAGATAAAATTCTAAAATTAGATTAAATTAGTCTAAAATTAGATAAAATTCAGGTTATAAATTATCATCTCGCAAGATGGAAAACAGTCATACTATTTCTATGATTCTACAAAAGACTTAAACCTTGTACTCCTGTGTCCATAAACATTTTGAAACTTCTGATCTTTTTAAACTTTTAAAAAATATTGTTAATTTCATTTATCTCTAATTGTGATAAAAGACATTGTTATTCTTTAGCCATGTATTAATCACCAGACTTTCTAATGGCTCCAAACTTTCCAACTTCTGGTGTATTATGATTTACATATTTTAAAAATTCTTTATGCATTAAAATTGAAGAGGCAGTCATTCAGACTATCTTTATTGGATATATTTTGTTTTTGAGGAAAATAAGTACTATTAACTGCCGTTATTAACTTAGGAAATCATCTTTAATCTTAATCTTACTGAAGTTTTTTGTGTGTTAATTTCTGTTTAATTTTGCTTTCATTGTTTTGGCTGAATGCACATTGGCAAGAATGGTTTAACTTACCATTTACAAATTCCATTTATCCTTGCTTCATTTTTTTTTTTTTTTTTTTAATCTTGAAAGTGAATCTGTCAACTTTCATCCTTCCCACCAATGACTGGGCAGATACAAGATTTTGCCCATTTGTAACATGAATATAAGTAAGCTTTTCTTAGCAAATCCTCCATGAAATTAACCTTATAGTTGGACAAATTTTCCTCTTCTACTTTGCTTTAATTAATTAATCTAACTCAACTTCCTCATCTATTGTTTTTGAATTTCTAATAATATGCAGTGTATCGAATTTTTGTATTATTGTTTTTAAAAGCCTTTTTCTGTTTGCTTTTTATGTTAACGATATCCTTTATTTTTCAGTGTCAAAAAAGGCATTCACTTACCAGTTATCAATTTGTCGGATCCTATCGTTAGTGTTTCACTTCAGAGTGAAGCTATCTGTTTCCATTCTTTGACATTCTAATTACACACAGCATATTTAATTTAGGCAATTCTGTTTATTGCAATTATTTATCAGTTTGCTTTTCTGATGCCAAATATTAAGTCACTTAAAACAGGCAAATCGACAACCTTGTATTCGGCGTAGATTTTGTAAAATCCCAATCGATTTTGAGGGCAAAATGGGTCCCTCTTCATCAATTCGCCTGTTTTATTTTCCATGTCGGTATGTTTCCCTTGCGTCTTAAGTCACTTATTTAAACAAAAAAAATTATGTTTCTGCATTTTAAGTTTTTCATGTCCTTTATATTTGTTCTTTTCAATATTCTTGCTCAGAAACTTAATTATTTAAAACCTGTTGTTATTAACAGATGTTGTTCTTCAATTATCGATAAAGATTTTAAGCTTTTTTCTTTGCATTGTAAACAACAGTTTTTTTTTTCTCTATATATATATATTTTTTTTTCTTTTTTTTTCTTTTTTTTTTTTTTTTGTAGAAATGCTTACTATTATTTTTTTATTTAAACAATCACTATATACAGTACAAAGTTTGTAATCCGCACATCCATTATCCGGAATGATCTATAATCCGGACCTCAAAGCCACAAACTTTTTTTTTTACGCATGCGTGTAATGCGTTTACGCATGCACGTTTAATGTTACGCATGTGCATTTAGCACAAAAAATGAAGCAACTTGAACAACTTACATTGAAAGAAATGTTTAATAAAGTAAACAAATAAATATTAAGCTTTTTTTTTTTTTTTGCAAATTTTTATACCCTTTAGATCATAATTGCTCTTTATTTCATAAATTATGGTTTCATATTTTTAACTGTATAATTTCTGCATGCCGTATTACCAGATTTAAATTGATGATCTATAATCCGGAAAAACCCTTAATCCGGAATCGCCGAAGTCCCGACGAGTCCGGATTACGGACTTTGTATTATATTACATTGTGTGATTGTCATGTGATTTGGCAACTACCAAATGAAGCAACAATATGATTAAATTCTCCCAAAACAAAAGTATCATTTATACCAAAAGCCTTTGGAAAAGCATTAATGCAATGCTATTTTACTCTTACTGGCACTACAAAATGGTGTTGCAATAAAATATTGTGTTTCAAATGGAAAGGTTTAAAGAACAGATGTTAGTTTAGAGGTTTGCACATTCCGTTCCTGATCACAAGTGTGATATGAATACAAGTTAGTATCCCTTAAAAAGTCTCCTACAAAGGCTACTAAAATTTATAATATAATCATCATAAAATACCAAATTTTATGATGATGATAATAATAGCTGAAGATTTCTGAATGTTAGAAGTAAAAGGTGAAATTCTGTAACTGATGGAATATGTGAAGCCATGCTAAATGAAGATGATATAACTGAAATCTTGCAGCATGTTAACAATACCCTGATAATCAATTAACCGAATGGCAAAAGCTATAATAAGGTTTTAAATCAGGTAAAATTTTGCACTTTTGGTCTCAAATGGCTTTATAATTTCATTGAGTGGTAAGCCAAACACAGTCTTTCTTTGGACAGAATATATCTTTCTTGAAGAAATATGATAGCCACTTTTATCTTTTATCAAATCCCAAATCATGAAATCTTTTTTAGTGTAACTGGGAGGGGGAATATGATTAGATGAAAAATGTGGTTGCCTCAGGAAAGAAGTCAAATCAAACTGGTACTGTGTGGTGCCAAAGAAATATGCAAAAGCAAAAAATGTGTCAATTATGACTTGAACTGTGAAATTTTCTGTTGATGAAATATGTAAATAAATGCAAAAAATGGTGAATAAAGGTGATGTAACTACTGTAGTCTTCATTGCAATGACAATGCCTCAATCATCAATCAATGCGTGGCAAAATCTGTAGTGTGGTTTTAAATCCAGAAAATTGATACTGTTGGGTTAGGAAAGTGGCAAAGAGGTTGTTGAGTATAAAAGATTTATCTTCACTATTCAGTGGTAATTTTTTTATTCAGCAGTTATAAAGGTTGAATATTAAAACTTTTTAACTGTTCAAGAATTTTTTTTTTTTTTTGTTTGTTAAATGTTAGTTTTTTTTTTCCCTATGTTATAAAAATGCTTCAATATTTTACAAATAACTATTTAATATTTTTAATTTTATAATTTCTACATGTCATTTAACAAGATTTAAATTAATACCCTAAAATCTGGAATTGCTAAAGTCATATGATTCAGGATTTCAGATTTTGTACTATGTTGGAGGTAAATAATTTTTGGTTGCTTAATTATTCTTCTAATCCCCCACTTCTTTGAAAATATATTACATCATTTTCACTTTTTAAATTAGAGTTCTTATAAACCTCGAATTTTGGCCTATTGTATCAACTGCATTTAATAAAGTAAGTTGTGAATAATATAGTAATTAATAGAGACTGGTTCATTTGCATGCTGTTGTACTTGGGTTCAGTTTATGGATAAGTCATGGGCATTTATAAATGTAGTAACTTAGGGCCTATTACTTAAAACCTTATTATAGTGTCATCAGGAGGACAGGTACTTAAAAACTTTTGAGTCTGAAATCCTGTTATGAAATAAGTGGTATGAATAAAAGGAGTATGAGATGTTAGATTCCACTGCTTGATTACTGTCACTTAAAAATGTTTGGAGTCTAGGCAGGTAGTTCTTGTGTGCTATGCCTAAATTAAATAACCCCATCTAGAATATCATTGATGAATGATTTTTTTTTATTTTAGTCCTCTTTTTAAAATTTTTAAAAACTATTTCATTATTTCTGAGAAAGTAAGTACCATTTGGGTATTAAAAATATTAGCAATTTGTTTTCATTTGTATTTTATTACTGAAAAATCTACATACATTAAACTACTTTTTGACATATTCACCATGCAAGTTAAGGCATATGTTATATCTTGGCATTAATTGCAACATATCAGCTACATAGGATTTGGCCACCTGCAGTCTAAATCAGTTCTGGATGTTTACTTCGATCTCATCATCACTTGTTAAAGTGCTGCCCGGGAAGAAATTTCTTGAGATGACAGAGTAAGTGAAGTTGGATGGAGCTAGATCCAGACTATAAGAAGTGATGAAAGAATTGTTCCCAACAAAATGAATCAAGCAACTTCATTGTTGCACATGTGGTATTCGGTCACACTTTGTCATGCACAAACACAATACCAGAAGTCAAGTAGTCCATGCCTTTTGTTCTGTATTATGCATTGTAACTTCTGTGCTTCACAATAAGTTATACATAGGGTATTAAAACATTTTTGTAATGATTTTGCAAAGATTTATATATAAACAAACCTTAGAATTTTATTATCTAATATGTTCATTCTGATAGCCCTTTTGGTGAACTGTCATACTACATCTCGATTTCCAAGATAAAAGTCCTTTTCTTAAAACATCAAGGTTGATTTTATTCCACTTCTCCTTCACAATCTTCCAGGGTTCATCCAGCATTTTGGGATGCTGCTTATAAGCAGCTTGTTTTAAAAGTCCAAATGCACAGTAGTCTATAGGAGACACATCAGGAGACTTGGGTAGGATGCACGTAAAGGGAATACCTTCAATTTCGATTTTATTTCTTATTTTTTTTTTTAAATAGAGCACTAGATTTAGAGGTATGGCTCGAAGCCATATCCCGATGGAATGTAACATAGTGAAGATTGCTTGGATAAAGAGATGGAATTTCTTCTTTAAAAATAGCTGTTAAAACACATTTTTGATAGTGAACTGAATTAATTTTGACTTTTTTTTTTTACTTTCCTTATTTTAATTTTTCCGTTAAAAGAGAATCCGTTCATAACCATAAAATCGTAAAAAAAAAAAAAAAACTTTCCTTGTTTTCTCTGAATCAACATATTAAGTCTTTTTCTAACCAGTATGCTGCTA